TCATTAGTATCTGATCTTCACTGAGTTCTTTTCAGTTTTCATCACTGGTTTTCAGTTTCTGTTATATATACATATATTTGTTTGATTGTTTCTCTTCAATTTTGGAGAAAGATGGTTTTTTTTTTTCTGCATATGCTAAAAGTGTGGTGGGAATCTGGGAACCATGGGACTACTCATTATTTACCTCTAAGAATAAAAAAAAAAAAGTGGATTTGTTCTTTGCCCACTATTCCTCTGTGATCTTTCCCTTTTTTTCTTCTTATGTGCCTCCTTTTTACTTTCTCTTGTTCTTTCATGGTTTCCCAGAAAGTAGTTCTTTTTGTTTGGGCTTATGTAACTTTGGGAACTGAGGAACTCCATAAAAATAAGGAATTTTTTACTGTTTACAACCTTTTTCTGAGTTTGGCAATACTAGGAAACATTTTCTGTTTGGTAGTAATTTTTTGTCCAGACATAAACCCAAAGTTCACATTTTTTTATTCTCTGTGTTTGTGTAAGAAAAGGGATTGTATCATATCATAACAGCTTTCAGCTGCTATTTGGTTTCACAAATCACAACATGTGAGTCATACAGCCCTTGTTGGTCTGATGCTAATCTGAACTTTGATACTATATTGGGTTATCAGTGATAATGCACATGGGCCAAACCACACTAAAAGATTGAATCCAATCATTGTCCTGCTGTTGTAACAATGGCCTAGCAGTATTATGGTCTTGAAAAGTTAATTTCTTTTCGGTTTTATTTGTATTCTTTTGCTTTGGTTTCAGAGTCTCCAAAGGATCAGAGTCCATCGCAGAAAGAGAGGAAAGAGGAAACGAAGCTACCATCGAATCCCGAGGAAGTAGAGCACCTGCGTCGCACTTCTGGTGTGAATCCATTGATTGCGTTTACGTTTGATGAACTTGTGACCATTACTAGAAACTTTAGAAGAGACTATATGCTCGGGGGAGGAGGGTTTGGAAATGTTTACAAGGGATTCATTACCGAGGATCTAAGGGAGGGGGGGCTTCAGCCTATTACTGTGGCTGTTAAGGTTCACGATGGAGATAACAGCTATCAAGGCCACCGAGAATGGCTGGTAAAGTCTATACACATTCCAATTTCAAAGATTCGATTTTTGTAGATTACTCGTTTTGGACCGAGGCCTGAAGGGCTAAGTCCAGCACCAGGTGGCTGAAGGGCCAAGTCCAGCACACTGCCTTTCGAAAATGTGGTTCTAGCTAGAGCTTTTGGCGTAATGATAAACGTTTGATCCTAACAGCCCTCGATCTTTTACACCATCCTTGTGTTTTTTTACCAGGCCGAAGTGATATTTCTGGGGCAACTTTCTCACCCAAACTTGGTTAAACTGATTGGCTACTGCTGCGAAGATGACCACCGGGTGCTTATATACGAGTACATGGCGCGGGGTAGCGTTGAAAGCAATTTGTTTTCAAGTAAGTATCTGCGGGTTTCTTCTAGAACACGACTATAGCTTTGATATTTACTCACATTTTTTATGTGAACCAATGAGGGCTGCAGAATTGCCATCCTTCAAGAGTTCAAGAAACACGTGAGGATTGGCCAATCAAAACATTAAAAAAACGACAAGTGCTCTCTGACTCCCATTCCTACTGCCTTTATGATATCACTCTCCATTAAGCCCTACTATAATATGTATCCATTGTTCTTAGTGGCCCATGAACAGATTTATTTGATACGAAGTGGAACAGTATAATGTTCCTTTCGGGTCCATCTCTGCTCAAATAATACGTCTGGAACCTCCTCTTAAGTGAAAGTGAAAAAGGAAAAAGGAAAAGTGTTTCCATGACACCTTGGCCCGCTTGGTGGGAGGGAATAGGATATTAAGGGATAGGATCACGTTTCCTTTTGCTAACCTTGAACCATTTTCACATTTTGTGACCCTGTTGCAGTCACTAACACTCGAGCATTACTCTACGGTATTTAGCCTCTACAGAAATCCCTTTTGCGTGTTAAAGTTATGTTCTTTAGAATACGAGAAACTTAGATGCTTACTAATCTGAATTGTGTAATGTTTTTTTTTGCTGCAGGAGTATTGCCTCCACTTCCATGGTCTAACAGAATGAAGATCGCGTTTGGAGCAGCGAAAGGACTCGCGTTTCTCCATGAAGCTGAGAAACCTGTGATCTACCGTGATTTTAAGACATCTAATATTCTACTAGACCTGGTTAGTTATCAAGAACCCTACATTATATGTACCGCTTTTGCTGGAATGGAACAATAGAGCTTTTAGTGAAAAGCTAATAGTATTAGGAGATCTCTTGCCCCCTTGAATATGCATTCTTTATAGCGAGTTCCTTGGTTGGTTTAGTCTCCCTTTATAGTGAGTTGTTGCAGCAACGCCCTTGGGAGAGTTGCCCCTTGAATGGCGCCCAATAGAGCCTCGGTTGGTTTAGTCTCATCCCGTGGGATACAGGGCCCAACTGAGGCTCGAGTGGTTTAGTCTCATCCCGTGGGATGTGGGGCCCAACTGAGGTTCGACTGGTTTAGTCTCATCCCGTGGGATGTGGGGTCCTACTGAGGCTCGGTTGGTTTAGTCTCATCCCGGGGGATGTGGGGCACAACTGAGGCTCGACTGGTTTAGTCTCATCCCGTGGGATGCGGGGCCCAACTGAGGCTCGACTGGTTTAGTCTCATCCTATGCCCGTGGGATGTGGGGCCCAACTGAGGCTTGACTGGTTTAGTCTCATCCCTTGGGACGTGGGGCCCAATTGAGGCTCGGCTGGTTTAGTCTCATCCCGTGGGATGCGGGGCCCAACCAGGGCTTAGTTGTTTTAATCTCATCACGGGATTTGTTTTTTTAGTCTATACGAGTATAACACATACTCTACATTGTCTTGTCTCGCTGGCTTCGGCTTTAAATTTAATATGAATTGAACTGCAAACTTTATGAGCAGGACTACAATGCAAAGCTCTCTGATTTTGGCCTAGCAAAAGATGGACCAGTTGGGGATAAGTCTCATGTTTCTACTCGAATCATGGGAACTTACGGTTATGCTGCCCCCGAATATATCATGACAGGTACCTCGTTATTCCCACTAGAATTCAGCAATCCCCGTCAAGTTGGAACATATCCGTGTTCAATTTCTCCTCGTCTTTCATTCACTTCATAAAGCGAAAAATGAGTCATTTCAATACTATTTTCGTCGTGTAGGCCATCTGTCTCCAAGAAGCGACGTGTACAGCTTTGGCGTTGTGCTTCTCGAGCTCCTCACAGGAAGAAAATCCTTAGACAAATCGAGACCTGCGAGGGAACAGAACCTCACAGACTGGGCTGTGCCATTGCTCCGCGAGAAGAAAAAGCTGCTCGCCATCGTCGATCCAAGGCTGGATGGAGATTATCCCGTCAAGGCGGTTCACAAGGCGGCGATGTTGGCCTATCACTGCCTAAATCGCAACCCGAAAGCGCGGCCCCTGATGCGAGACATCGTGGACTCTCTGGAGCCACTGCAGGTCCCCTGTGAAGCTCCTGCTGATAAACCTGTCATGACTGTGATTACTGAGAGTGCAAATGGAGTTGTTGTCAAAGAACAGTTGCCCAGTTAATCTGATGTTGTTTTTTTCAAGAAACATTCTCATGTGTTAACATATATCTTTGTATCATGTGCAAATTTTCAAACTTATATAAACAAAGAAGCTAAAGGTCCATATGTTCCAGTTCTTGGACTTGTATTCTCTTTATAGTACTAGTGACTCTGTTACACTGTTACAGTGTAGTATCTGTTTCATAACTACTTTCTCAACCTACCGAAACACAAAGAGTTAATACGGCCTTCGAGAAAGTCACTTCATGCTACTTGATCATAAAATCTTTGGCAAATATCACTCTTATATAATTATTACCTACAAATCACATATAAAATATAAATTGCACTATAAAAATTATGTGTGACGAACTTGATTGAGAGTGTTTGATACAAATGGTATATTTACTTTGTATGGTAGCTCAACCTAAAACAAGGAAACTTTTCAAAAATTTGCTTTGTGGCAGGTAGGAATTAGGAAATACCCACTATGTATTTTCTTAATTATTAGTTTTAAACAATTAATAAAATTCAAAAAGAAACCATATACATTGAAATTGAAAATGCATAATAAAATATAAAATACTATAAATTAATTATATTTTTTGAAAACAAAATCAACCATTAAAGAAGAATGATCAACTTCGATTACTTTACAAAGTTGAGTATTCTTAAAATTGTTGTCTAAATATTCAAGAGTGTTATGATCGCACAACCCAAAATATCAAAACGTCAACATCCTTCATGCATATATGACAACATAATGTGTTTATAGTTAGGAAGTTATTAGTTGGTTGTAACTTCCAAACTTGTATTTTCTAATTCAAACAAAGCAATGAACAAATCTCATCATCATTATCCATACATTTCATCTACTAGATACTCTTGACAAACAACTATTTTTTACTGAAACTTTTTGAGACTAGATTGGTCCAAGACCAATTCACATTGATTTTGAAGTATTTTTTTTTAAAAAACAGTTAGTTCATCAATTATGCATAGTTTAATATGTTTTTGTGCAGCTTAATGTGAAAAATTAGTATTGAATAAATCTATTGATTATTCTTGACATCTAATCATTTTATACTGTGAAACTTTTTAAAACTAGATTGATTCAAGACCGATTCACTTTAAATTTTTAAATTTGAGGTAATTTCGAAAACAGGAAACAACATCAAGGAAAACAGGATTTCCAAGAGTTTGGGGTTCATTTTAATATTTAAGCTAATTAAAGGGGTGGATAACTAGAATTCATTGTCAAAATATTTACTCAAGTGGGGGCAGCAATCTACCAAAGTTCTAGAGTGTTCTGAAGGAACGACAAAACTAAACGGCCGTTAACGATTGGGGAGGGGGAACTCCGAACTGACAAGGATGAACGGTCGAGATGGGTTTAGAACCTTCAGGAGTATACGATGGCCGTCTATTATCCGCACCCTGCACCCATACTCGCCTCGTGCACTCCAGATTATATAATAAACCTAATCGTATCCTCTACTCACTCTCCGAGCCTCAACGACTCTACTGTCTAGCATCCTTCTCATCGGATAAACCCTAACTCAGCCTCCGCTTTCCGGTGAGTCTCAGCTCCGGTACCTCGCTAAATACGCTTATAAGTCGTGCGTGTAGATATGCATGCCTTCATGTGAAATGTTGTTGATAGACTTTGCGTTGTTTTTTATCGAAAGTGTTTTATTTCTTATTGTTTAATGTGGTTAATTTGAGGTCCTGTTTGCTTGGATATTATGATGTTTTATGCCATGGTGTTTGCCTAGATGTGTTTGTTTAATCGGTGAAGAAAATGGAGCCTAGTAATTTTTCATTTCTGGACTGAAAAAATATGTATTCGTCAATGGAGGCGTAGTTTAAGCTATGAAATGGATCCTTATCTAGTACTCGTAAGCTTGGAATATATCAGTATTCAACCAGTTAAGCTCTTATTTAGGAGATAGTATAATACGCTGCGCAGTTTTTAAAAATAGGTTCATTTTAGCTGAAAGTTGACGTTGTGTTTGATGTAGTTTTGTGAAATGTAAAATGAGGAAGTCAATGGAAGAAATTAATGTTGCTCTATCACCTCCCAAGGGATTTTATGGAAATGATTACTGTTAAAACTTCAGAGTTCGGACAATCTTTATAGAATTGAGTATTTGTGGGTTTGGATACTTAGGTTAATCTTCTTGTGGTTGGAATGGCTGATGGCATAGAGTAATCTTAATTCATGGAGCAAGTATTTGATAAATTTGCTTGTTTTCCTTTTAGGTGCAAATGGCTTCTACCTTTGCTGGCATGTCTTCAGCTGGTTCATTGGCTGCTCCTAGCAGCTGCATGAAGGACAACAGGCTTGCAATTTCTTCAAATAAGTTGTCATCTCTTGCTTCTATATCTTCAAGCTCCTTTGGGAGGAGGAAAAATGTTGTTCTACGCAAAACACGCCCTTGCCAAATAACAGCTGCAGCCAAGGAGTTGTATTTCAATAAGGATGGATCAGCTATTAAGAGGCTCCAAGTAAGTATTGTTTTTGACTATGCTTGTGGTTTTTTGTTTTTTTGCTGGACTGTTGTTAATGTTATTTTTTTTGCTGTTCCAGATCGGTGTTAATAAGCTTTCTGATCTAGTTGGGGTCACACTTGGTCCCAAGGGAAGGAATGTTGTTCTTGAGAGCAAGTATGGTGCTCCAAAAATTGTCAATGATGGAGTTACTGTGGCCAGAGAGGTATATATGATCTGAACCAGTACTCTGTTTTTTTAGTAGTGGTGCATTCTGCTTTATTATGTTTAGCAATTAAGTTTTATGTTATCAAACTCAGGTGTTTTCCACAGTTACGAATTATACATTTTAAAAAATTTTCTAGTAATAAAAATGGATTTGGGTTGGCACTGTAACAAATTATACCTATTGTTTTCCATTTACTGATAGGTAGTGGTGATATATTTTTGGTCTGTCCCATTATTTTCTATACTGTAGACTTAGATATTTCTGTCCTTTTTTGGTTCTGAAGTAAGTTAAGTGCAATAACTCTGACTATGATAATCTCTTATAGGTTGAGCTGGAGGATCCTGTGGAGAACATAGGTGCTAAGCTGGTGAGACAAGCTGCAGCCAAAACCAATGACTTGGCAGGTGATGGGACAACAACATCTGTTGTTCTTGCACAAGGCCTAATTGCTGAAGGTGTCAAGGTATATATGAAAAATTCACAGGTTGCTTCAAATTATATGGACATGCTGTAATTAATGGAACTCTTTTTATACAAATTGATATTCTGTTTGCAGGTTGTTGCAGCTGGTGCAAACCCTGTCTTGATCACTAGAGGAATTGAGAAGACCACAAAAGCTTTAGTGTCTGAGCTGAAAAACATGTCAAAAGAGGTAAATAAGCTATCACTTCACTTGTGCCAAGTGATTGATATTGTCCAGCTTATATCTGTTTACCAGAGATGTAGTAGTAGTAGTAGAAAGGGTTAAAAGGCAAATGGCAAACCAAAACTTTGTGTTGCTGAACGTTACATTCCTAACTATTCTTCTTTTTGGTGGTTTATAGGTGGAAGACAGTGAACTAGCAGATGTGGCTGCAGTGAGTGCTGGGAACAACTATGAAGTGGGAAATATGATTGCTGAAGCCATGAGCAAAGTTGGTAGGAAGGGAGTTGTGACTCTAGAAGAGGGGAAAAGTGCTGAAAACAGTCTACGTGTTGTAGAAGGAATGCAATTTGATAGAGGTTACATTTCACCATACTTTGTAACTGATAGTGAGAAAATGGCTGTTGAATATGATAACTGTAAGGTATGTGGTTTTCTTTGAATTTCAGTGTTCATTAATTGTTTAAATGCATGTCTGAAGTATGGTTTGTTGATATGTAATGATAACTATGTTGGTGCAGTTACTACTGGTTGACAAAAAAATAACAAATGCAAGGGATCTTATTAATGTATTGGAAAGTGCCATCAGAAGTGGTTTTCCCATTCTGATAATTGCTGAAGATATTGAACAAGAAGCTCTTGCAACCTTGGTGGTGAATAAACTTAGGGGTGCATTGAAGGTTGCTGCTCTCAAAGCTCCTGGTTTTGGTGAACGGAAATCCCAGTATCTTGATGATATAGCAATTCTTACTGGAGGTATTTCTGGCATATCTTTCTTATGTATCCTTGTGCACTGTGTGGATTCAATCTGTTCTGCATCTCAGTTTTCGGTTTTGGTTACTTGCTGCAGGAACTGTAATTAGGGAAGAGGTTGGCCTTAGCTTAGACAAGGCTGACAGTGATGTCCTTGGTCATGCTGCCAAGGTAGTCCTAACTAAGGACTCTGCGACAATTGTTGGCGATGGCAGCACCCAGGAAGAAGTCAGTAAGCGTGTTGCACAGATTAAAAACCTTATTGAGGTGATGTTTTTCACTTATGCAGTTGGTGGATACAGTTATTTATAAATTATAATCTATTAGCCAGCCTCCTTTAATCTAATTTTATATGATTCTTCAAGCAGGTTGCAGATCAAGATTATGAGAAGGAAAAGCTAAACGAAAGAATTGCAAAATTATCAGGAGGTGTTGCTGTCATTCAGGTTAATAGAACTTTGAAGTATTTATATCATCTTAACTTTTGTGTTGATAAGCAAGTTAGTGCTAAATTGTTTGGTTTCAATTGCATATTGAAGGTTGGTGCACAAACTGAAACAGAACTAAAAGAAAAGAAACTTCGAGTGGAAGATGCCTTGAATGCAACAAAGGTGAGTGGTGTCGCTTGGTCTACCCTTTTGGTTATAGCTTTTATTCTTGGGATAGTGGTATGATGAGTGCTAAATGATATTTCATACCATGACTTTCAGGCTGCTGTTGAGGAAGGCATTGTTGTTGGGGGTGGATGCACTCTTTTGAGGCTTTCTTCAAAAGTTGATGCCCTTAAGGAGAGCCTTGAGAATGATGAGGAGAAGGTAAGTCTCTGTTTCTCATTTTTCTCAGTTTTGTGTATAATGTCTGAGGCTGAGCTATTGTTTGGACATCACATTTAGTTGGAAGTATTTTTAATGGAATCAAATGTGGTAACAGGTTGGAGCCGATATTGTCAAAAGAGCATTGAGTTACCCTTTGAAGTTGATTGCAAAAAATGCTGGTGTTAATGGAAGTGTTGTTAGTGAGAAGGTACACATATTTTGTGTGAACTAATTAGCATTATTATCTTGATCCTCTAGCTTGTTTTTTGTCCGCTATGTTTCTATTCATTTTGCTGTTAGCATAATTATCTATATAATTGGATTTTGATTTTTAGGTGCTTTCAAGTGACAACCCAAAATATGGATACAATGCTGCGACAGGCAACTATGAAGACTTGATGGCTGCTGGAATTATTGATCCAACCAAGGTAATATTTTCTATTATTTGGTCGCTTCGCACAAGATTTGGCTCTTCAATTTGCAGTAAGATGTCTCTCTCCCCCCCCCCCCCCCCCTCCACCCCCACCCCAACCCCAAATAAACTGAAATGTTAATGTTAGTCTGGCATCTATAAATAGTAATAATAACTAGGAATGTCTAGTTCTAATTCATCAATATTCCTCCCAAAGTAATGAATGCTCCATTTTTATACATAGGATTGGCCTATGTAGTAACTTCATGGATTGTTGAAGCCCGATGATAATTAACTTTTGATATTGGGAAAATTCAAACTTTTGTCCGTTCTGTTTCAGGTGGTGAGATGTTGTTTAGAGCATGCTGCATCTGTGGCAAAGACATTCTTGATGTCAGATTGTGTGGTGGTTGAGATAAAGGAGCCCGAACCAGTCATGGCTGGGAACCCCATGGATAACTCCGGTATCTGCTCCATCTGAAATTCTTATATTTAGTTGCAAAGAGTTCCTTAATTTGATTACTGAGATTCTTCTGTGATTTCCTTTCTCAGGATACGGTTACTAGGTAAGATCAACAGAGTTGGAGACATGGCATGAATGACGTATAAGGATCTGGCTCCGGGATGGATAATAAAAACCACAAAGCTGTGTAATTGGCTGCCGAAGCAGTTTTTGTAAATCTAGTTGTTATTCTTTATGGAAGAATGTAAAAATCCTGGCAGGGTTTTAGCCTTCCAGGGTGCGGTGAGAGAAAATTGCTAGACTTGCAACGCATTGTACGATTTGATGACAGCATTATAGGATGTTTACACTCCATTTTCTCTACCCCTTATGTTTTTTTATACTCTCTTTCTCTTATAACGGTTACTGCTGCATATATTTACCAAGTATTTTAGTGTTAATATTGTGTTAAAGAAAAAATACGGACCGTATTTCTGAAGTAACGACATAACAGTCTAAAGTCAGAACAATCAAACAATCAGTCCTCGTAAATTAGAAATTAGAACCTAGAAGTTGTACCATTGGATATCTCTTTTTGATTCCAAGAATGTCTACGGTTGATACACGAAGCCAAAGCCACTCTTAGGCTTCCACGTGGCACCACAGATTTCGATCACTCATTGGGAGCCACTAGTCACTACTACTCCCATAACCACTTTAGCAGCTTCCTGAAACAGAAGACCAAAGAGTAATCTCTTGCTTTCATTCTCGAGCACAAACACAAACACATAGTGAGCAGAGCAATCTAATCAGTCAGTCTACTAATCCTCCATGGCTTCAACAAGCTGCACATCCCTGTGTTCTTCTTCCCCAGTACGAAGAATCAGTTCCCGCAAGCAAACCTCCTCATCTTTGTGTTCTTTGCTGAAGCTCACCCAGTCGTCCGTGAATCTCCCATTTCTGAGCAGCAGTTTCTGCAATTCCCGCCCAGCTTCGGCGCTCAAGGCCTCGAAAACGGAGGCAGCTAAGGCGGAAAGTGAAGGCAATGAAGAGGAGGAGGAGAAGTACGAAGAGTATGAGGTGGAGATAGTGAAGCCGTACGGGCTAAAATTCGCTAAGGGCAGAGATGGTAGGACTTACATTGATGCCATTGCACCTGGAGGATCAGCTGATAAGACTGGAGCCTTCACTGTTGGGGATAGGGTTATTTCCACCAGGTGTTTCTTCAATTTTCTCTTTGTTTTTCATCTACTTTTTCTCTGTGGTTGCCTTTGATCAGTGAAACAAAACAAAATGAATTTTAGAATCGAGGCAACTTTTCCCATTCCCATAGAGGGAAACAGAACTTAGAGTTTGGGGAAACTCGATTGCTTTTATTGATAATGTTGTTGAATTACCTAAATTTGTAGCATCTATGAAGTGGTTTAGTTCTATTAGGCCTAGCATTGAGATGGGGATATATGTATCTGACCTATTGCCCATGTGAGGCTCATAAAAGTGTTTTGTTATGCCAGCACATGCTTTATCCCTTTCTGATGAAATTTAGAATTGCACATTCATCTTGATGTGATTATGATTGGGAAGTGCAGTGCAGTATTTGGAGATGAAATATGGCCTGCTGCAGAATATGGTAGAACAATGTATACAATCCGGCAGAGAATTGGTCCATTGCTGATGAGAATGGAGAAAAGATATGGTAAGTTAGCTCTTCTTATAAGGACTAAAGTGGATTCTCTCTTCGCTCTCTTTTTTCTAGATGATACACTGAGACATCACTTGAATTGTCTCTCCAAATTGTTACTCGTGATTATGTCAAATCTGTTGTGTCCTCTCTCCTCGTAAACCTGTACTGGATTATATTCAAAATTATTGCATGTGTTTAAAATTTTGCTACTGCCTTTTATTATATTGTCAGGAAAGATGGAGACTATTACAGGTGAGTTGTCAGAAAAGGAAATTATTCGACAAGAAAGGAATGCTGGTTTCATTAGTGACAGGGTGAGAGAGATTCAGGTGAGTACTATATATTTTCAAATGTACAGCATAGACCCATGCTCAAGTTATTCATTTATTTTTCGATCTCAGTCTTCACTCTGTAGTCTGTATTGATATATATGCAATGTTATGTTCGATCTCAGTTGGCAAATGCAATGAAGAAAAGAGAACAGAAAGAGCAACGAGAAAAGGATCTCCGGGATGGACTGCAGCTGTACAAGTAAGAGCTTGCGTGGCCTCATTCTCAGCATTTTTGCGAAAGATTTTTATAGCATTTTCATTTTTGCGGGCTTTGCACACTCATTACTGAAGGGTTTGGTTTCCTCTGATGCAATAGGAATGCAGACATTTCTAATGTTTTTCTGAACTATTGGATATCTGATGTCTTTACTTTCTTTTTCATCTCTTGATGGGTGAAGGAGTGCCAAATATGAAGAAGCATTGGAGAAATTCGAGTCTGTTTTAGGTTCACGACCAGATCCAACTGAAGCTTCTGTAGCAAATTACAACGTTGCATGTTGTTATTCTAAGCTTAATCAGGTACTGTATTATTTGACTCATACAAGAAATGTACTGCTTCTTCATATGAATTTCTAAGAATAGATCATTTTATCTTCTTCTAAATTGTCTACCTTAAAGTACCTATGCTTTTATTGTAAACATTGACACCTTTTATCTGTCTTATGATAGATACAAGCTGGGTTGTCTGCTTTGGAGGATGCATTGCAAGCAGGATTTGAAGATTTCAAGGTAACTAGTGATATCAACATCTATTGTGGATTGAGCATAATATACATATAAAAAATGTATAGTTTTACTATCAGCTTAAACTTTTAGTTGAGACAGTACATATCCTTCAATTGAAGGTGACTACTCCGAGTTTAATTGCTTCATGTTTCCAGAGAGTCAGAACAGACCCTGATCTTGCTGGTCTAAGAGCATCTGAGGACTTCGAACCTCTTCTCAAGAAATTCGATGAATCATTCATCAATGAAAACGCGATCAACGCCCTTAAATCGTTGTTCGGATTCAACAAAAAGTAGAGCCAGCAATTCAATGTGCACGTTTGAATTCAAGCATGAGCTCACAACAAGATCAAGATATCTGTCAGCTAAGGCTTCTGGACCCACTATATATACACATTGGCTTCTTCTAATCTGCTTAGAGCTAGCTAGAAATGAATTCTGAAAGAGAATGAGATTATTTTGTGCATGTTAACTGTTTGTTTCTACTGTATTCTTAGTGAATCTTGTGTACCTATTTTAGATGAAGAGTTGAAAGAAACTAATAAAATTATCATTACAGATCCCTCAATGTTCTTTACTTCTCTGTCACTCTTATATAATCTGATACATATGATGATGTGAAATTCATATCTAACATTTAATGTCAAAATTCTTATTAGAGATTCCCAAGAATGTTACATTATCTCAAAAACATTGCTTGAACCAACAAAAACTTAGTCAAACTTTGCTGTTGACAAGACATTAACTTTCCCATGATTTTCCCAGACATTGTTTTCTCAGAACAAAGAAGAAAGGACAGACCATCATAACTTATTGACATAGACTCACCCACAACCCACTAGTCAACCACTAAAACCAAAATCTTGTTTAATTCTTATAAGAAGAGATACAATTCATTGACTTGGCTTCATCTGTTTTGGTCACAATGATAATATTCTTTTTGTAATGATTCCAATAATAATATCTGCTCTGATAACAATGGTAATAGTTTTTTACTACATTTCACATCAAGAATGATTCGAATAAGAATGTGCTACTTGCACAGGCTATGATGTGTTTGATATCGAACAAGCACTAAGCAATGGCCAAACCACACCTGCTAGTGCTATCTGTTTTCTTGAATTTCTTTGCTTCTTTATGCTGTCCTGATGATCAACAGCAGTTCCTTCTCGAGTTCAAATCCGCCTTCCTTAAAAGCGTCAACTCATCCTCTTCAAACGGAATCTTTGTTTATGGATTAGAGACGTGGAATTCCACGTCTGATTGCTGCAGTTGGGAGAGGGTCATATGCAAGCCCCGCAGAAATTCAAGAACTGTCACGGGTCTCCATCTCGACTCTCTCGTGGCCACGACGCCATCTGAGGAGGGGCCCGGGGTGGTGGTAAACGCGGCGGTTATGACACCCCTTTGTGGTATAAGATCCTTGATGCTGCTAGACTTGTCCTCGACCATATACAGGGAGAAATTCCAGGCAAGGAATTGGGAAATCTGACCAATTTGGTTCACCTTGACCTGATGCAGAACAACTTTAGTGGCTCGATTCCTCCACGGATCTTTCACTTGAGGTACCTGCAATATCTTGACTTGAGCGGTAATCAGTTAACCGGGGAGTTGAGTCCCGAGATTGGAAATCTTGAAAACCTGCAGGCACTGAAGCTCGATGATAATCTCCTTGGCGGGAACATCAGCATGGAGATTGGAAACCTTAAAAAGTTGCAGATGTTGTCTCTCAGAAACAATAAGGTTTCTGGTGCAATTCCAGTGTCAATACTCAATTTAAAGGAGCTGCAAGTATTAGACTTGAGGGAAAACCATATGGCAGACCAGATTCCAGCCGAGATTGGAAGCTTGTCCAATCTGACAACGCTAGCCTTGAGCAAGAACAAGTTTACCGGTGTAATCCCATCATCAATACACAACTTGAGCAGGCTGGAGACTCTTCGGCTCGAAAACAACAATCTCACAGGAGAAGTTCCATCCTGGTTATTCGGGATCAAGTCTCTGCAGAATCTGTCTCTCGGTGGGAATTCACTGAAATGGAATAACAATAACAATGCCAGGATAGTGCCTGAGTGCAAGTTATTGCAGCTCTCTCTTCAATCCTGTGGGCTCGAGGGAGAAATCCCGGATTGGATTTCGACACAGAAAACTTTGGGTTACATGGATTTGAGCAGGAACAACCTCAGTGGAACATTCCCACAATGGCTTGCAGAGATGGAGGTTGGGAGTATCATTCTGTCAGAAAACAATTTCACAGGTTCTCTTCCTCCTCAGCTATTCCATTCCAGAAGTTTATCCATTCTTGACCTTTCAAGAAACAGATTCTCAGGAAAGCTCCCAGAGAATATTGGAAATGCTACTGCCATTATGTTTCTCATTTTGGCTAACAACCAGTTTTCGGGAACAATCCCTGTTTCCCTCTCGAACATTTATCGTTTGCTGTTGTTGGACTTATCGAAAAACAGATTTTCTGGTGATACATTCCCAGTTTTTGATCCCAGTGGCTTACTTGCATATGTGGATTTATCCTCTAATGATCTTTCAGGAGAAATCCCTTTAAGCTTTCCTCAAGAAACCAAGATTCTTGCCTTGGGAAACAATAGATTTTCTGGACCATTGCCCAGAAATCTGAGTAATATGAGC